GAGGCTGCCCAGGTGAGGCTGCCCAGGTGAGGCTGCCCAGGTGAGGCCCTGCAGCTCAGCACCGCCCCCGGCAGCTGCCTCCTTGCACTGCACTGTTGTTTATCTTAGAGGATGATCTCTCGGCTCCCCTGCCTCGAAGCAAAGAGGGAAAACTAAGCATGGGGGTAGGGCGGGGAGGGGTGTCTCCTTAGCGCAGTGAAGCCGGTTCCTCACGTGGCCCAGGCAGACATGCACCCATGACCCCCGGCTTCTCTCCTGACATTACCTGCCTGGCTCCTGTGCGGCACAACCCCTGCCTTCCAGTGTTCTCTAAGGGGCCACCAAGGAAACCACTCACACCAAATCATGGCTCACTCCTGGCCTAGTAAGTGACCCCACAGCCTTAGTCCCACCGTCTGGGTTCTGTGGGGGAAGAGACAGGGCTGCAAGGACAAGCCAGGGCTGGGAGTCCCGTGAGGGCAGCTGACCAGCACGGTGTTCATGGGGAAAGGAAGAAGCAAAGGGGACAGGCAAAGGAACGCTACCTGGTTAACTTTCAGCAAAGCCCCTTTTCTCGGTAAGATGGAAGAATTCCGAGAGTCAATGACCATCGCGTGCTGAAAGACAGTGGTAGGTGCATCTTCACTTCAAACAGTTCTGTGAAGTAGCCAACACTTACTGAGCGCTAGCTAGATGCTAAGCACTGTTCTAAGCACTTTACAAACGTTAAGTCATTTAGTCCTCATACAAGCCCTATGAGGAAGGCAGATGATTTTCTCTACTTTACATGAGGAGACTGAAGCGCCAAGAGGGTATGACTTGGAGCTTCCAATGAATAAAGAATTCGTGTTAATTAGGTGAGAGCTGACTGCCTCCACTGGGGTCATTCCCTCAGGGAGCCAAGGCTAGTCAGTCAGCTTTTTCATTATTTTGGAAAGCTTTTATTCCACGGTGGCTCTTAAACACACTTTTCCCCATTACCACAGATGATATCAAGGAAAAACCAACACGTTATTTAGAAAACATGACCTGAGGTAACGGACCATAAACTCACAGAACACCCGGGAGCCGCTGTTTCAACAGCGTTTCACCTGCCCAACTTCAAAACTGTCAGCAGAGTGTAATCTGTGACACTTGTCAATAAGCCCTGACGCTGGCTAAGACATCTTCCCAGTTCACAGCGCTACGACAAACACAGCAGCGACCGTGAGCACGGCGCAGGACCGGGCCTACTCGTTCTGTCAGGCCCAGGGCTGCTGTGGGCCCGCGACTCACCGACACCTAACAACAACAGCACGGCTCTATCAGAAAACCAAGTTACTTCCCAGACAAGACAAGTCCTCACCGAGAGAGACGACTTCAGCGAGTGTCCACTTTCTTTCCGAACAGCAAAGGAGGCTGTTCTGGCCAGGCAGCCCAGCTCTCGCCACACGCCTTCCCACTTCACGGTGTGGCTGGTCTTCCAGACGGGAAACTGTGAACACAGGGAAATGGTGACCGGCCTGTGTATAAATTCTGCCTGCAACATCCACACTTCAGGAAGTTGTCCCAAATCACTTTTTGGAATGAGGCACCCCTAAATAATTAATTAGATACCTAAGACAGTTTTTTAAAGGGAAGGAGAGAGAAAGAAGGAAGGAAGAGGAAGGCCGGAGGGAGGGAGAAGAAGGGGAGAAAAGGGGAGGGCTATGCTGAAGCCAGATGAAGCTCTGCTCTGCAGTGTCAGGACGGCACTGGGGTGAGGCCCGGCTCACTCATCTGAAAGCTGCATGCAATTTTATAACCAACAGGCATCTTTCCTTCTCAATCTTTGTAAAGGACAAGATACCCAGGATGATGTGACACATGCTCCACCCAGTCCCCCAAGCCCGTCTGAAGCCAGCCCCGACAAGAGCTGGAAGAGAAGGCCGCACGCGAGCTACTGAGTGTCCTTTCCGCAGACGCAGCTTGACCCAGGGGACTCTGGGGTCAGGGCGAGCAGACGGGCCTCTTGGCCTGACACTGTCCCTGAAGCCCTGACGGCCCGTCTCACGCTCGTTGGATGGTAAACCAAGTTGTTTGTTGGCTTTAGAGGTACGGTGGTGCTGTTGCCCCTTAGGAGGCCATGGCCAGTCTCCTCAGAGTGGACAGAGTGGCTGAGGCAGAGTCCAATGCTGGGCATTCTCTGTAGCCTCAGGTCCGCAAGAGAACTGAGCCAGGTGGGGACAGTCGCAGGCCCAGAACACCCCATCCAGCTCCCAGGTGGGAAAACAGGGGCACCACCTCAATGCAACTGTTCATCAAGCACCCAGAAGGTGGCGTGCCAGGCACTGGGAACCAAAGACGGTGCCGGGTGGGCAACCTGTTCACGGCCATTTCTGCACTTGCTGCCTGAGGGCCAGCGACTCCCCCAAATGCCTGTGGGAGGCGCAGAGCTGACCTAACCATTTCTTCATTCCTTGTAAGACAGCTCTAAGCAAGAAAAGCACCATTCCAAGGAGAAACATCTTACTCTCTGTACTCACTGTTGGGGGACGAGCAGGGGCCAGCGTGCACAAGCCCACTGTGTGTGAGACGACCTTCCTTCTCTTTTTCAGCAGGCAAGCCCCCGCCCTCCCTTCAAGGCCCACCTCCAGCATCACCTCTTCGGGGGCCCCGTTCTCAGCTCCCTACTCCTAGTCAAAATGCACCCCCACTGGGCTCCTAGGGGTAGAATAAATGGTTAACGCACTCGGCTGCTAACCAAAAGGTTGGAGGTTTAAGTCCACTTAGAGGCACCTTGGAAGAAAGGCCTTGCAATCTACTTCCGGACAATCAGCCACTGAAAACCCCAGGGGGCACACCTGTATTCTGACCCACATGGGGTCGTCATGGGTCGGGGGCGCCCCTAAGCGTTCTGATCATACTTCTTTCTTTCTGCTCTAGCACCCACCTCCTCAGGTGGTCAGTCTACTCATCTGTTAAGGGAGCCTGCGCCTGCTGTCTCCCCGCCCCCCACCAGCAGTGCTGGCAGAGGGGGGGCCAGACCGCACCTCCACTAAATGACTACGCAGGCCTGTCAGAGTGGCCTCTTGAGCTCACTGACCACCCGTCACTGCTGTGCTCCTGCCTGCGTCCACTTCCCCAGTCTGTTACGGAGCCCCCGCTTCGTGCAGGCACAAGGAGACAGAGGGGAGCACGAGGAGGCCCTTCCTCCAGGAGCTCCTCTCCCTCCACGGCGCACCTCCCCCACGGCCCAGCCCCACGCCGGTTCTCTCGGCTCTGCCCTGCCATGTGGACACGAAGGGCTTCTGCTCTCCTAGGAATCTCTGCTCTTGAAGAGGCCTAGAGAAAAGGGGTCATGGGGAGCCATGGGAGAAAGCAGGGGAGAGCTCCCGGGTACCTAACTGCAGCTGCCTCAATGGTGGTCACGGCCTGAGGGGTGGGGCGGCAGAGAAGAGCGTCTGCTCGGTGGCTCCTTCGTATCCCCACCACAGGGCACTTGGGGGTGATGTTGGGGCAGCAGAGAACCTGAGGACCACTCATCTCCAGACAGCCCAAACGCTCACAGACACGTGTCTCCATCCTGAGCCTGGCGCCAGCCTGACCACAGCCCCGTGTCTGTGACCTTGGTCTCCATGAGCTTTCAGCACTAAGAGAGGAGCTTTACCCACTGATCTGACTCCCTCTTCAGCACAGCCCTGTGGGACGTGTTATTCCCCCATTCTACAGACGAGCAGGAGACTGAGTGATCGCCCCGGGGCACCTAGCCTTGAGCAGCAGGGCAGGTGCCAGCCCAGCAGTCTGAGTCCCGAGCTCGGCCCTTCACCAGAGCAGCAGCTCTCCAACTTCAACATCTGTGAGAACCGCTGGGAGGGCGGTGGGCCGATGCTGCAGTCTGGGGGCTACACGTGACGCTCATGCACAGCGCTGCATCTCAGGCCTTTCCTCATGAGCTAACCTGGACGGGGCGCAGCAACAGGGAAACGTGCAGAAAAGGAGACAAAGAGTAGTGTGCATCGTTAGGCCCCAAACGGTCAGATGATATGAATTCCATTTGTGACATTTAATCACATCCTTCTATTAAAAAAAACGTTAAGTGTGAATCAATAATGGGGGTTTCTAGTGATCGAAGTGACTTTGCTCGCTACCAGAAACCGTCGCTCTTAACAAAGGTGAAAAGGACAGACAGACAGGGTGGCACTAGGAAGTGAGGAGCAGTGTGACGTTGGTCAGGTTGGAGGGGCCATCACTGTGCACACTGGCCACTCTCCGGCTCCGTGCTCTGCTCGTCAAGAGAAAGCTGATGGGGCAGGGAAAGACTGGAGGGTGCCAATCCAAGCTCGGACCACAGACATGCTGTCCTCCCCTTGCCCGGCCGCCCTTCTGCCGTCTTTGGGAATCATTAGACAGGCACGTGGTTTCTACCCAGCTCCACAAGGGGAATGACTGAAATGCTACTTACGCTATACTCGGCTGACAGTCCTCTGTCTGTCTCCCGAAGTGAGCTCCAAGGGAACTGGCCAGTAACTTTATATAAGTTCACAGAGAAACTAGGAGGCAATGGGACAGAGCTTTAAATGCTGAAACAGTGATTATAACTTGCAAACATTTCAATAATCATGTTTAAAAACTACACGTCTGGGGCTCATCTTCGTGAGGAAACACGTGGCATGTGGTGATACTGGAGAGTGTCAGCTGAGTCTGCACGGCTGCTTTTCACAAACAAGCCATCTACCTTAACTTCTAAACCAGGCCACTGAACTCAATGAGCTGTTGGGCTTCCTACTTTCTTTCGAAGTTTCCAGGCTGTGGTTTGAAGAAGGACAGGCCGTACGAAGTTTCTTTTGTTCCGTACGAAAACTGAAAAGTCACCTTTTCTGCACGTCCTAGAAGATTAGGGAGTTTGAGGCCAAGTACCTGGGGGAAAGAAAAATAGCAATGGTCTGCAAGGAAGAAATAACTGTATTTAATAAAGACTATGCTGGCTCAAACGTCATCAAGGAGCATGCAGACGGAGCGGGGCCAGGCAACACTTTGCTGTTACGCGCACGGTCGTCGTGAGCCGGAGCCAACCGGATGGCAACTAACGACAGTAACAGCACCCGCTAAGGAAGTCTCGTAAAAACAGAACAAAAACGTGGACCACAGGTCTAGTCTCTCATCTGTAATTGCTTTTATTCTCTGAAAGCACGCCCTTGCTGAGTGCACGAGCCCTACATACAAAACTGACAAATAGAGAGACTAACCTTGCCAACTCTGAAGTTCAAGGACATAAATTTTATGGGTTAGGAGTTCAGAACAACCCCAACAAGAGACTATTAATACCAACATCCCCCTAATTATTCCTGATTAATTCTTAATGTTAATATTGCCACCAAACAATCCAAAACATAATCGCTTCTAGGAAGATTAAACAGAAACCACAAATAACAACAGGCTACTTTCAAAGCAAGATTAAGGTACATGAAATGAGAAAGAGTTCTGAAATTATTATCGGCTTTTAGAACGTGCTCACATCTTTAAAACTCTTAACTCACAGTTCCAGTACTGAGAAGCAAAACGTGCACCATACCATACTGCCTTCGTTGTTCCCGACCATGGTGTTGTAGCTGCCTGTGAACCTCCTCAATTCGGTCACTTCAAACGTAACGTCTAAACCATTCGGAAGTGCATCTTCACCTAAGTAGATAAAAAATACCAGACGGTAAGACATCTAGAACGTGCCATTTTATTTTAGGTCCCATTGCTAAACAGTTTATTTTACAGCCCCCTTCAGAAGATACACCATCTACTCTAGAGTTTACGAGCACTCCAACACAAAGCACAGAGTGAAGTCCAAGCTCTCCTGCGGCACATGAGGTCCGTGTGATCCTGTCTCCTGATGATTTTTCTGGCTTATGTTTCATCATTCCCGTTCCCCAAAACCTGCCTTCCGGTTCTATTGAGCACCTGGGGGCCACCCTGGAACACTCTCCATCCTCCCCTCACCACCAGGCCCTGCTCCCCAAACTAACTCAGCTTACGTATCACCCCTTCCAGGAAACCTCCCTGACCCCCGTCCCCTGCCCCGCCTGCCAGACAGGGGTCAGTTTCCTCTCCTAGCCCCTTACAGCATATGTCATCCAGCACTATAACCCGATTTGCCTGTTCCTCAACCTGCCACCTGGCCAGAAGCTCTTTAAAAGGAGATGACGTTGTGTTTGCTGCTGTGTCCCGGGACCCAGCATGGGGCCTGATCCAAGGCGGGCCTTACTAATAAGGAACAGACACTGACTAAGCTGGGAGACTAGCACACAGCAAACAAGCGAATGAGCAAAAACAAAAACAGAACTCTGCCCCCTAGTGGCTCCTCTTAGTAAAGCATACACTGAGATGAGCGGCCGAGAGCCCACACGGGCAGCCGCCCGGCCGGGATGTGCCTAATGCAGCCTGGCTCCCTCCTTCAGAATCCTTCTCTCAGAGGCCTGGTGTAGTCCCGGGATTCAGAGACAGTATCTTCACAGCTCACCACTCCACCCCATGGCCTGACAGAAAAACCCAGTCACTTCCACAGACTGCTAACTGCCAGACCTTTCTGTTTGATGAACCCCAGGCTCTATCCACATCTGGCTGCACAAATAGCTTTTTCTGGGATCCTGGAGGACGGAAAAGGGCAATCACAGAGATACTACACCACAATACACACCTTGACATGTGTCAATCAAAACGTCCACTTGTCTAAAAATTCCTAGGCGAAGCAATTTTTCACGTGCCTCGTGAGACTTCCGCATTACCTACAAGACGGGAAAGAAACAGAGCATGTATTCTTCTAAAACCGAGAAACAACTGGTGGTTACCTGACCAGGAGAGCGGTTTACCATTGGGTGCTAAGTCGCTAATCGTGTGGAAGAGAAGGCTACCAAGACCACGTGAAAGAGCGGACGCAGCACGTAACGGATCAACAAAAACCCTACTCGAAGGGGTAAAACCAAGCCTAAGGCATAAAGCAGTGTACATAATCTAATCCCTTTTATATAAAGAAACCCCACATGTCTGTCAGTTTGTTGTACTCTGGGGGCTTGTGTGTTGCTGTGATGCTGGAAGCTATGCCACCAGTATTCAAACACCAGCAGGGTCAACCACAGCGGACAGGTTTCAGCTGAGCGTCCAGACTAAGACAGACTAGGAAGAAGGGCGCAGCAGTCCACTTCTGAAAAGAAGTAGCCAGTGAAAACCTTATGAATAGCAGCAGAACATTGTCTGATATAGTGCCAGAAGATGAGCCCCTCAGGTTGGAAGGCACTCAAAAGACAACTGGGTAAGAGCTGCTTCCTTAAAGTAGAGACGACCTTAATGACATGGATGGAGTCAAGCTTTCAGGACCTTCATTTACTGATGTGGCACGACTCAAAATGAGAATAGCTGCAAACATCCATTAATAATAGGAACGTGGAATGTACAAAGTATGAATCTAGCAAAATTCAAAATCGTCAAAAATGAAATGAAACACATAAACATCGACATCCTGGGCATCAATGAGCTGAAATGGACTGGTATTGGCCATTCTGAATCAGACAACCATATTGTCTACTAAGCCAGGAATGACAAGTCGAAGAGGAACGGCATTGCATTCATCGTCAAAAAGAACATTTCAAGATCTATCCTGAAGTACAATGCTGTCGGTGAGAGGATAATATCCACACGCCTACAAGGAAGACCAGTTAATACGACTACTATTCAAATGTACACACCAACCACTAAAGCCAAAGATGAAGAAATTGAAGACTTTTACCAACTTCTGCAGTCTGAAGTTGATCAAACATGCAATCTACACGCACTGATAATCACTGGTGATTCGAATGGGAAAGTTGGAGACAAAGAAGGAGGATCGGTAGTTGGAAAATATGGCCCTGGTGACAGAAACGATGCCGGAGATCATATGACAGAGTTTTGCAAGACCAACGACTTCTTCATTCCAACATAAATGGCGACTATACACGTGGACATTGTCAGATGGAATACACAGGAATCAAATCGACTACATCTGTGGAAAGCGATGATGGAAAAGCTCAGAATCATCAGTCAAAACAAGGCCAGAGGCTGACTGTGGAACAGACCATCAACTGCTCACATGGAAGTTCAAGCTGAAACTGAAGAAAATTAGAACAAGCCCACGAGAGCCAAAGTACAACCTTGAGTATATCCCACCTGAATTTAGAGACCATCTCAAGAACAGATTTGACGTATTGAACACTAACGACCAAAGACCAGAAGATCTGTGGAATGACATCAAGGACATCATACAAGAAGAAAGCAAGAGGTCATGAAAGACAGGAGAGAAAGACAAGACCAAAATGGATGTCTGAAGAGACTCCGAAACTTGCTCTTGAATGTCAAGTAGCTAAAGCAAACAGAAGAAATGAGTAAGTAAAAGAGCTGAATAGAAGATTTCAAAGGGCAGCTCAAGAAAACAAAATAAAGCATTATAATGACATGTGCCAAGATCTGGAGATAGAAAACCAAAAGGGAAGAACATGCTCAGCATTCCTCAAGCTGAAAGAACTGAAGAAAAAAATTCAAGCTTCGAGTTGCAGTACTGAGCGATTCTACAGGGAAAATAATAAACGATGCAGGAAGCATCAAAAGAAGATAGAAGGAATACAGAGTCACTATACCAAAAAGAACTGGTCAACGTTCAATCATTTCAGGAGGTAGCATATGATCAGGAACCGATGGTACTGAAGGAAGAGGTCCAAGCTGCACTGAATGCATTGGCGAAAAACAAGGCTCCAGGAATTGACGGAATACCAACTGAGATGTTTCAACAAATGGATGCAGCACTGGAAGTGCTCACTCATCTATGCCAAGAAATTCAGAAGACAGCTACCTGGCCAACCAACTGGAAGATATCCGTATTTATGCCTATTCCCAAGAAAGGTGATCCAATCAAATGCGGAAATTGTCGAACAATATCATTAATATCACACGCAAGTAAAATTTTGCTGAAGATTATTCAGAAGCAGCTGCAGCAGTACATCCACAGGGAACTGCCAGAAATTCAAGCTGGATTCAGGAGAGGATGTGGAACCAGGGATATCAATGCTGATGTCAGATGGATCCTAGCTGAAAGCAGAGAATACCAGAAAGATATTTACCTGGGTTTTATTGACTATGCAAAGGCATTCGACTGTGTGGATCATAACAAATTATGGATAACATTG